GGGGGTCTTTCTTAGTACCTGCCATTTGCAAGCAGCTATTCAAAATGCGGAGAATATATTTTCCTCAATAGAGAATAAATCTACTATGACAACTAGTGATTTTTCAAATAACTTGGGGTAAGTTTAAGATTTATTACTTTATTATTTAACACTCTTTGTTCACAGCATATTAGGGTCCTTCTCACACTCTCCGATTCCCTTCTCCCTTCCGCCATCCTTCTCCTCCCAATTCCAGATATCTGAAAATGTGTTGAGATTCATTGCTGGATTTGTTAATATATTAAGGATCCTCTGATAGCATGAAGTTCATACATGCTATTTAGAAGTTCTGAAGGTGGTAATAGAGACTACATGGAACTACCTAAATAGGGCATTTTTAGGACAACCGAGCTGCATATATTATTCTTTTGCTAGATTTTTCTAGATCAGTAGTTTAGATCTTGTCCCCCACCCCCCTCTTTTTTTTGGGTCGGTTGAGGTTAAGTGGCACAAACAACAAAGTTGAAACAACTTAGCTTTTATATTGTGAGTTATTATCCAGATTTAAATTTAAAACAGATATAACAATTGAATTCGAAATAGCTAACTCTGTGGATTATGAGAGCCTAAGATGACTTATAGTATGTCTGTATACAATCCACTGTTTTACTAAGGTTCAGGCTGCACAAACTACCATCTTTAAATATGGCAATCATACAGTTTGAGATAGTGTGGAAATGAAGTAGCAAAGGAAGCCCTCTGCAATTTAAATTTTAAGGTGCTGTAATTTTAATAGGGTAGGTCTTTGGTTCACATGGGTACAAACATTCATCTTCTGCTTAAAAGTATTTCTTGCATTAATATAAACAAGACAGTATTTATAATTAAATACTAATCCAAAGGTGTACAGAAATCTAATATCTTCATTTTGTTGAAAAATGACAGGTAACTGAACATTAAAAAGAAGCAGCAAAGACAAGTGCCAATTGTAATGTTCACAATTGGTGGATTTTGATAAAATAAATACAACTTTCAGAAGCACAGTCAGTATCAAAATGATTTTTAAAAATATATATATGGAAATCTTCTTTCCATAATTTTGTTTTTTAAAATCTACTGAACAAGGACACACATCTTTCCCCCCAAACGTGTGTGTGTGTGTGTGTGTGTGTGTGTGTGTGTATATATATACCCTAACCCTAACCCTAACCACTGAATTGTTCTTCAAGTAGCAAAGCAGAACTCAAATCATACATAAAATCAAGATTAAGTTGTTGCTTGGATGTTATAATGAATATTAGAAATAATATAAAAAGAAACTTGGTATGACAACATATGATAAAGAAGTGGTGAAAACTGAGCAAATGATAAGTGGATCAACTCTCTTCCAAGATGACTTGCAATCCAGGATTAGAAGGCAAATCATCACAAGTCAGAAAAAGAAACACAACCGTAAAAGCAAAGCCTGGTCTTGCCGTGCTTGTCCAAATATGATGTTCTTAGAATGTGAGGACAATTTCCACCCAAAAGATTAGAGTCAGGCCTCTAGCAGCAATTTTCAACAAAAAAATAACAGCACAAAACATTCTGATTTGCTGATTATTTTGAGATAGCTGAAAGTGAAAACATACTGATAGGTGAGGTATTTTAGAGACAAAATTGAAGTGGCTTGAGAGACAAACTTTCCCTTCCTTAGTGCACAGATTTTTATTTTGTCCAATTTTGATCCTGTTCAAATTGCTTCTTAATGTGTCTATTCATACACTCTTATAACTGCCTTGAAACTAATATGAAAAGATATAAAGTTCTGAAAGAAAATTATGGAAAGAAAAAACAAACAAACAACACTCTATTTACTGGAGACAATAACAACAGGAATATATACAGTAAGCACAAGCATATCTGTTTTCTTAGAAAACTGTCCACAAGGATGACAGGAATAAAAATATCTTAAATCTGTGCTATTGTAGAAGGGATATAATTTAATTAATAATATGGTGAAATGAATGTGGCTTCATTGAATAGTGAGCTTTTTGTAAGAAGTTCATCTAGTGATGAGTGTCCTTATTGCAAGTAAAACAAATTCTTTCTGGTTTGTGAGAGAAAGTGCAGCAAAATTATTGGTATTACATTGTGCTGAAAGAAAAAAAATGTCAATATATATTATATTTCATTTTTAGATCACTAAAAATTGCATAAAAAATGCAAAGCAAAAATTTGAGACCAACTTGACAAATTATTTTAAAAATACGGGTATGCTTGGTGTTTCCAAAAACTCACAATGGTCTTAATTGTATGGATTGTTTGTAATCACATAATTTATTCTGAGAACTAAAAAAGAAAATTATCATATGTTCTTTTCTTCACTATCATATATATTTTCAATTTGGCAAATCATATGCATGTGTGAAGGAGGAATAAAATGTATTGCGGGGGCTATTGAGAATGAAAGTAGTTTGGCAACTGAATTGATTATTTAGAAGGCTGGTGAGCTCTAAGTTGCTGGAGATCTTGAAACAGAGCCTGAACGCCTACCTCCTGGATGTAATTTAGTTCAAGAATAATTAACCAGTGGAATAGCTTGCCTTCGGAAGTTGTGGGTGCTTCATCACTGAGTCTTTTAAGGAGACATTGGACAGCCATTTGTCTGAAATGGTATAGGGCCATGATGGTGAACCTATGCCATGCGTGCTGGAAGTGGCATGCAGAGTCATCTCTCCGGGCATGTGAGCCATCACTCTTGCTCTTCTGAGTTCTGGTCTTTGTATCTGCGGGAGTGCCGGAAACTGGAAGAGCAGCTCTTTGGTGCACATGCGTGCATCAGGGAGTTCAGCTTCCGGTTTCCAGGTGTGCATGTGTGCTGGGCAGCAGAAACCGGAACACCAGGTGACTAGCATGCATGTGTTTGCCAGAAACCAGAAGCTCAGCTTCCCGGTGCATGCATGCACAGTGGAGAACTGCTCTTCCACATTCCGGCACTCCCGTGCATGCACACCAGGGAACTGCTCTTCCGGTTTCTGTGCTCCTTCATGCACACTCCCATTTTGGCACTCAATGCCAAAAAGGCTTTCCAACACAGTGTCTCCTGTTTGAACAGGGGACTGGCCTAGAAGACCTCCAAGGTCCATTCTGTTATTCTGTAAACTAAGATTTCTTAAAGTGCAATTTCTGTGTCATTTTGCCACAACTAGTTAGATTTATGCCTAGAATTTGTAGCTTGCTAGAGTATTATTGGGCTATGAAGTTGAAGAAGAAAGAAACAGGCAAACCTCCCCCCCCCATCTTTTGTTTTCTAAAATGAGAGGACTGAGCAAGAATATTACACATCTTGTTTTCACTTATTATGTCTTTCACAGAAAACATGAAACAGAAAGTCAGTTACTCAAGGTTAAATATTGTTTAGAAGTTTCCTCCGATCCTATTATGCAAAACCTCAGTTTTGCGAATAAGGAATATTTGGGGCATTACATACAGTGTTTATAATAATTTATCCAAATGAAAGAAAGAGACAGAGGTATTGTAGTCTGATCTATTACTTCATATATAGTGCAATATAAGTATCCAAATGCTTATACATTCTATTCAGGAAGACTGCTGTCCCCTTGTGTAAAATGCTGAAAATACCAGGTTAAAGTGCCAATAATGAAAAATGGTCAACAATGCTTTTCCTTGTATAAGGAATTATATTTACAGAATTTTTTTTAAAAGGAGTTGCTTACTTCGTGTCAGACATAGTTGTATTTACTTAAACCAGATGTAAATGGTAATTTATTGGTTTTTAGGGGGGAGGGAAATCCTTGCCTGTTATTTTTCCAGACATAAAGGGCAAAGTATGTCATTTCTACCTTGCTTGTGCCAACCCTAGGAAGAAGGAAATTCTTCAGACACCTATTACTATACTAAAGCTAATTTATGGGTTTCAGTTGCTATCTCTATCAATACTGATATTAATTATAGAGAGTAAAATAAGATTCAGAATTTCTCCCTTTGTATCCTATTCAGAATGTGGGGTCTTATCAACTGAAAGCATTTTTTTGAAAAATAATCTTATTTACGCAACATTTGTTTTTAATATCATAAATGTTGTGTGAATAATTTTATTTTGTAAATGAACTATGATTCTCGGTAATTTGAATGCATAACGTCTATAGAAGAATGGGAAGAAATAACTCAAATGATATGAATGACCAAAAACAATGCCTTTGAACCTCTCTCCCAATACTTGTACAGATAGGTAAATGCCTCTGGTCTGCTTCAGACATACATGCAGAAATTTTAATTATAAAGCATCTCACCATTTTGAAATGAAATTTTGAGCAATTTCACATTGTGCATTGTTAGGTTTACCTTAAGCATGTGACCATGATAGCCAGATATATAGAAATATTATCAGAGGCTGAAGCTATGCATATGTAAACATGATCTTCACACATTTCACCTTATGGAAGACTGGGTTTTTTGCTACTTCTGCAAGCATGTCACATGTTATGTGAAATAACCCTGAGATTGGGCTCCCTTGAGAATTCTTGTGTTTGAGGTTAAATCAATCGTATCGCATGGCTCATTTATGCTGAGTGCATCAGACAACAGACTAAGGGTGATAATCAGTGGTGGGCTTCAGATTTTTTAGAACCTCTTCTGTAGGTGTGGCTTGCTTTGTGGGAGTGGCTTGCCGGCCATGTGACTGGGTGGGGGTGGCTTGCCGGCCATGTGACTGAGTGAGAGTGGCTTGGCAGTCATGATGGGGTGGGTGTGGCCAACTTGTAAAATGTTAAACTCACTTAACAACGCTCTTGCTTAGCAACCAAAATGTTGGCTCAGAAATTCTGGCATTTGAAGCATGCAAGTCAAAGTTGTCAAGTTACAAGACCCTTGCACCCCTAAACCCTTTAGAAAAAAACCCTGGGGTGTTCAAACTTGACAGCTTTAAGACTTGTGGACTTCAACTCCCAGAATTCGTCCTCTCGCTCCTCATCTTGATGATGTGCAGACGGGCGGGGGGAGGGAGCTGGAACTGGTTCTAAACAGCACTGTAGATTTGTGGAACCTCTTCTATAGAAGAGGTTAGAACTGGCAGGAACCCACTCCTGGTTATAATCTATTTGTAACTTTCTCTTACATGCCTATTACTGTATTTATCAGCATTTTATCGGGGAGGAAGGTATTTAAGGGCAAGGCTTCCCCCCCTTCATATATTTCCTTCTTTTTGAGAAGTATTCCCATGGTTACTGTGAACTCATGATATTGAGATCACATTGAGATTGGCTTCATTATCATATATTGTTATGTGAATTTGTATGGTTTTGGCTTAGTGTAAATTTAACCACTGGGAATTGGAATCCTTAGTTTACGACCTTAGTTTATAGTCTAACATGTTGTATGAATCCAAATGTTTGTGATTTAAATAATCAAAGATGGTTTAGTGTGTGAATTAGGCAGCATGGGATAAAATGAAATTTGATCTCTGGGAGAAATATTAAACTGTAGCAGCTTAGGGATTTTTATACTGGGAGCATCATGTGAATAGAGATATTGTTAATTTGCTGGAGTATCTGTCCCATCCTCAATAAATGGTAAGTGATTATATCCATTTTTAAATTCCTTGTGAAAAAAATGTATTTCTTTCTGACAGAAGTGCAATGCTCTGCTCTTTGGAACTTTGCCTAATGCTTATGCATGCAAAAATAGATTTAATGTGGTTTGAAATTCATATTCTTCAGCCATTCAATATATTTTACTTAGCAAAGAAGATTAAAAAAATAAATTATGTACAAAGGTAACCTGTGCTTCTGGCAATCTCTGCATTCTTCAGCATTTTAATAACATTGGAAAATTGGTAATGCTAGTGATGAATGTGATGGAATCTTCACTGTTGACTTAGAATTGACAATAAGACATGTCTGCAATTTCCATTTAATCTTTCAGTATTTCTCATGAAGCTTACAAATTGAGGCAGTGGGTAAATCTTGGGAAAGCTCATGTCCTTGTGTCAGGTTTTATATAAGAGAAGCATAAAAAGAGAAATGGGATTTATCCTGTCTTCCTGCTGCGTGAATATCCCAAATCTTCTGAAATTTATATTTTATAGACTGTGGTTTCCTTTCCATTATATTCATAAATAGCCAAATATATTTTATTTGTGAGAGTCACTAGCGATATGGGAAAAAACAGATTATGACTCTAGCGAACTAAGTTAACTCAGAGATAACAATGACCGTTATTGCATTCTTGTAGATATTCTGATTATTTTTGTTTCTTTCCATGCAGTTGGAGATTGCTTAAAGTGAAAACTTTCAAATTTAATTAATTTTGTCTCAAACATTTTACTGGACAAATAGTGAAATATGTAAGAGTTCCCAGGATCAGCTGACTCAAGATTGTCAAGACTTGATGAGAGACTGAGCTTTTGATCAAAAGGGGATTCAAGTAAGTTATGAAGGAAATGATCTGTGCAAATAGTGCTTTGAATCAACCCACACTGATTCAAAGCATCAGCTTAACTCAGTGAATTGAAGGAACATAAATAAAATACAACTAAATCAATTCACATTCATTAGATATTTTCCTCACACGTGCACATGCACTTTAAGGCCTGAATTGGTCCTAATAGAGTCCATTCCTATTGGAGGCTCTATTTGAATTGATTTAGGTGTATGAATCAAATTTATCTTCTGAAATAATTTAAGCATTTGCATTGACTCACACCTCACTCACACACCTCAGAAGAATATCTCTGCACATTGAACCATGTTCTATAATTCTCCCAATGTACATGCAGGTACTGGATTTCCAAAAGCTAGCAGAATTTTTTCCATATTCTGCTGGCCAGTTTTCATGCAATCCACCTTTCAGATTTTAAAACAAGATAAAACTGGGGATTGTACAATTATTGTTTGGTGTGTGTGCACATATGCACGCAAGCAGATAGATAGATAGATAGATAGATAGATAGATAGATAGATAGATAGATAGATAGATAGATATAGATACTTCCAAATTCATAGTTCATTTATGAAAAGTTGGAAGGCATCTTGATATACTTTTCCCCCAGATCATTACCATCACAATCAATTATTGAGCACCCAAGGTTTTCCATTTTCCTCTAAGATTAGAATATGCACTTACTGTGCTGGTCCAATTTTCTAACTTGCCAACTTAATATTCATATGCATTTATTCTAGGTATTATCCATTGCTCTTCATTGATTGTAGAACAATTTGATCTTTTTGAAGCACAGATATTTATCCAGGTTGCCATATTTTAAGTTCCAAGATTTTTAGAATAACATGATCATAGTATTGTATTATCATTTTCCATCTTTTTCTTAGTAAAATTTTTGTATCTTTCAAAAACACTTTTAAAAGATGATAAATTATTATTGAAGATGATCTCCTCAGCATGGTTGAAACTTCTGTATAAATAGATATTTAAAGAAGGAAAACCAAGGTTCTTCATGCATATAAGCATGGTAGCATGATAGTCCAGAGCTGAGATCCTCAAAATGAGCCAAGGTAGAATCTTATCTACTCTCTTTTCCTCTTCTTTGAAGACCCATATGCCATCAAATGGAAAATGTGTTTCCATGGCAGACGTGATGTCAGTTTGATATTGATGATGCTCAAATCAGAATGGAATCTGAAAGGGGGCACCATCCTTTAAAATCTCATACAGAGCTGCAGGAAGCACAGCTGAATGAGGGTACCTGATGAAGAAAGAGGAGGTGGAAGAACAGATGACAAAGCTTTAGTAGTCTTGAGCTTTGTGTTGTCAAAGAAATGTGTTCTTTCCTCCCAGGTAAATTGCTTCTAAGTTGATGAAGCAGGAGAGACATTGAGTTTTGGAGTTGAAGTGTAAATATGTCTCCTGTTACTTATAGCAAAATAGACCCAGATGACACCTCTTGGCTTTACTTCTCAGTCATCTTCTCGGCACATTGGGAAGTTGACAAAAGTGAAGACATTAAACTCTATCAGTATCGAGAAACACAAGAAAATGGCATAGAGGGTGAGCACATAGATGCCCAATTTCCTGTCAAGTTTCCATTTATTTATGTGGATCCCGCCAACCTGTAAGAACATGGGGAATGAATTATTTAAGATTGAAGGCAATATATATGTAGGCTAAAAAAAATGAGAATTCAAATGAGAATATCAGAAATCATACAAGGAAACTAATTTCCATAACCTTTACAACTGGAGAAACTCTAAATCCTATAATACAAAATGTTTGTGGAAGAGCTATTATAAAATCTATAGAGGGAAACAAGTGTTTTATGATCCATATGCTTAATTGATTTTTTTTAATTAGGTGACAATCTAGTACGTTGCTTTAAGTGTTGTACAAATATCAAGAAATAAGTCTCTTGGGATGCTTCATGGATTTCAATTAAAAGTTAATATAAAAAATTGCTAAGCTACCTGAACAAACTCTCTAAGAGTTCTAACTATTATATCTGATAGCTTCACTCTATCATCTGACACTATTTTTTTAATTCATCAAACTTTGATTTTATTCAATCCTTTTCCCCACTTTATATGTTGTTATGGGTTCTTCTCTGTATGCATATTGGACCTCAGTTTAAAGGATACAATAATTGTCAGTTTAACAGACAGTTTACTGTCTGTTAATGTGAGGATGTGACACATTCTAGTGAGAGAGAAGTTCTCTGAGGATGAGCTCCAGCATGAATCCAAAAGCTTAGAAGACTATAACTCTGCTCCCGGTGATCAACCCAAATTGGATGTGACTACTAATGGTTGTCTTGTAAATCCATGAAATGCAGAAATTCTGGCACCATTTATGTCATTTAAGTATTTTTTCAAATTGATAGGACATAAATTCAAGTTCAACAGACAACATTCCTGTGTTTCCCCCAAAATAAGACCCAGTCTTATATTTTTTTTTGCCTCCAAAAGAGGCACCAGGACTTAATTTTAAGGGGATGTCTTCCACAGTCTCACTTCGTGGTGGCGGCACTGACAGCTCCACCTAGCATCAGAGCATGGGTGGATGCTGCTTGGCCACTTCTTTTGCAGCTGCTTGCCGCCGCTTGCAAATGGCATTCCCCAGCCTCCATTTTGCCATCAGAGGCCTTCAGGAAAGGCCTCTGTAGCTGAGAAACGGGCTCCTGATTGACATACAGAGCACACCCCGGCCTCATATTGCTGTCAGACTTCTTCAGGAAAGGGCTCTGCAGCCAATAAACAAGCTCTGGATTGATGCATGCAGCGCCCCCTGGCCTCTTTTTGCAATTTGAGGCTGTCAGGAAAGATCTCTGCAGCAAGAAACGAGCTCTGCGGGTGCCTCTGATGCTGAAACAGAGGTCAGGGGGCATCACACACATCCATCCAGAGCTTGTTTCTCATTTGCAGAGTCCTTTCCTGAAGGCCTCTACAGTGAAACAGAGGCAAGGGAGCACTGCACGCATCAATCCGGAATTCTTTTATCAGCTGCAGAGCCCTTTCCTGAAGGCATCTGATAGGGAAATGGTGGCTGGGGGTGATGCGCACAAGTGGCGGCAAGCGGCTGCAGAAGAAGTGGGCCAGCAAGGCAAGTGGCAGGGTGTACAAGGCCTGGTTGCAACTATCTGAAGGTAAGCAGCTCCACGCCCCCCATCCCCACCATAACTTGATTTTTACCCATGCGCCTTGCCCCACCCCATGCAACCAGGCACAACAGAGTGGGTGGGGGTCTTAACTAGGGCTTATTTTGGGGATAGAGCTTATATTGGGCACATGTGTAAAAATCAAGCTAGGGCTTATTTTCAGGATAGATCTTATTTTCGGGGAAACATGGTATCATCTGAATGTACTATTAAACCAGGGCTTTATTTTATACAAGCTTTTTAATACACATATTTTTGCAAGTTTTAAAGCAATTCATTTTTCCAATCAAAGTTGTAAATTATTTTTACAAATGTAAGTTTCTTAATAGTACAACTCATTTGTAAAGTCTGTTAAAGGGATATGTTGACTAAATAATAGTAGTTACATTTTGCATGGCAAATACAAGTTAATTATAAAATAAGTTTTATCTAATCTCTAGATAGGTTGTATTAATATGACTCGATGCAGAAATAGGTTAATTCATCAGTCTACTTACGGTAAGAGCTACAGACCCCAGGAGAAGCACAACAGAATAAACTAGTCCTTTGCTGTTTATCTTAACCTATGAAAATCAGAAAAGATAGTTTTAAAATACTTGCTACATCTCAAGAAAACAGTCACTAGAAAATATAAGATAGAGGATGTAAAAACAATACTCATAATTTCATTGCCAATTAAGTTCAACAGTCAATATCTGTTGAACAGAAGGAAAACAGATTTCATCTTGCAAAATAGGTTTACTTCAGAGGGAAGATCCATTTAGGAATCCAAAGTGCAAAGAAAACAGTTGAACATTTTTGAAGGGGGGGCATTGGTTATGATAATGATAACATTAGAGAGAACAATGTTAGTCAAAGGTAAAGAATTATACTGAGCATCTAATGGCAGATGGAAAGACCTTAAGAGACATAAGAAACAATTAAGAGATTTTTGTGAGATAGCATTGGTTCCTACTGGAGATTCTTGAGAAATATAAAACACATTGCAGAGACCTCTGTGTACCCATGCTTCTAAGATGTTTTGCCATCTTATTTCAGAACCAGCTGTAATCCTGGCCAAGAAAGAGGTATGTATGTTGTAGAAATAGTTTTATGGAATTTTTGTATATAGATTTGTGTAAAGATATTTAGGATAGCTTTTCTGAACCTTGACACAATTCCAATATGGCCTTACTTCAATTTCCAGCATAATTTCATTGTGTACACATGATTTACAATGACAATAAAGGCTATACTAATTGGCCATCATGGTCAAAGTTTTGCTGAATACACTGAGAGTTTTTGTCCCAGCTCACAATACATTTGCAGATTATCAAGCTGGGGAAACTCAATTTCAACCAAACCATACCAAAATAATTGTTTTCTTCAATCATATTTTCTGTGACAAAAACTTTGAACAGATTTATTTACATCTGGATACATACGTATGAGCCATAATGAACTGCCATAGTCTGTAAACCCCATGGAAGTCCAAGCCCCACAAGAATGTCAAACACGTTGCTTCCAATTGTATTGGACACCGCCATGTCACCTAATCCTGAAAAACAAACCGTTCACAATTCAAGCTATTTTGATTTGTAAAATGATTTATTTTACAACAAGCAAAAGGCTACATCTCGAGGTAATGAATATAAACTGTAGACCATATATTGTCCAGGGTTCCCTACAATAATTCTTCACAGGGCCGATTATTTTTAATTGAGGGAGAGAAAAGGCATGTTAGCTGTATACTGTAAATGGCCTTAAAACCAAAGTATGTTATAATCTTGAGACACTCAAAGCGTTGACTACAGATGAAGGTCACGTACTATATTTGGAATCTCAAAATTTAACTCAATAAAATTAGTTCTGTTGAGCATACTTTAGTTTAGATTCCCACAGAGAACAAGGGGCCTCTTCCAACATTATGGGATTCTGTGTGGATTCTCACATAAAACAACACACCTCTTCCAATGTAATGATCCCATGAATTCTAATAAATTCTATGTGGAATTATTTTTTTTTACAAATATCAAATCTGACTATTGATAAAGCACCAATGCAGCCTCATAAAGAAAAAATGGATAAAATCTAGTCTATTTTAACTCTTGAGACAGGAATAACAAGTGGATGGTGAGTTTGAGATTACTGCATTGATAAATTAATCAAACCAATAAATGGATTAAATTTACATGAAAGTATAAAACAGAGATTCCTGATTAATGAAGGGCAGTTCCCAAGCTTATTTTTACATAATATTTTTGTTTAAGCACCTGAGATTTAAGCAATTAAATCTACACAAAATTAATGCTAGTGAAATAAAACACCCTTTGATTATATATTACGCATTACATTTAAAGTAAGCAATCTTTTAAAAGAAGCTTATATAAGAGAAGGGAGGATAGTGTTTTAAATTGGTGTTTGTGATCCAAACTTTACTTATGAATTTGCATTACAAATAATAGATACAGAGTAAAATATTGAAAAGTCCAGCACCCCCTTATAAAAGGTATACTAACACCTTCCTCTCTTGGAGATCTGTATCATTTCTCTCCCAACTATTAGTCAGTCCAAAGAATTGTAAATAGATTAGCTGTGCTTTTCAACTGATTTAAATATAATAGTGGGAATTGTGGATCACTGCATCTGGATCACCTCAAAATTCTTTTTCAAAAAGCAAATGGACTTTCTTGTTTTTCTTTGAAGATGTTTCGCTTCTCATCCAAGAAGCTTCTTCAGTTCTGAACTTCAATACTTCAGAACTGAAGAAACTTCTTGGATGAGAAACGAAACATCTTCAAGGAAAAACAAAGAAAGTTCGGAAAAAGCTCTTTTGGGACAACCATAACCAGGATGACTGAGAATCTCCATAGACATGCCGCTGGAACAGTTGGTTGATTCAACTTTCATTTCTATTTAGATACACATCACTTCTTACACTGCATTCATCTGTTCATTTCCCATAATATTACATTTTTCCCAACCACAACCTAGTCTTCAGTTTTGCCATCAGTTTGTAATTTTAAAAAAAATGTATGGAAAATATCATGAATTGTTAAGCTCACACTTTCATTTAGACAATTTTATGTATTTCCAAAGCACAAAATTGTACAGTGGTTTGTAAGCAATTTCCTCCTACACAGTATTTTCTCCCAGGTGTCCCTTAACACAGACATATTTGTATGCAGGTTTTGCTAATCAATTTTGTACACATTTTAATCAGAGGACTGTAATTTAAAATTAAGAAAACTGCAAAAACTGAAGGATGCTTGCATTCTGATTCAGGTATTAATTTAGGCAATTCAAATTACATTAGACTGTGTTGAAAAACCTGAATGAAATGAATGTGATCTTAACAATCTCAGCCCCATCTCTACATCAATAATGAAAGAGCTCTGCTTACTGATGTAGAAAACAAGCACAGCATTTATCTGAAATCAGTGCAGGCCTTACCTTGTCTTGCTACTATTAAACTGGCCATGCAGTCTGGTACACTAGTCCCTGCAGCTAGGAAAGTAATGCCCATGATAACATCAGGAATCCCAAGAGTATAACCAATCACTGTTACCTGTGCAACAAAGGAAAACAAGTTGTTGAAAACAATAAGAACATTCTGACTCTTAGACCTTCTTTAACTGCTTGAGCAAATGAGTGTTAAAAGGAACCAAGACACAACCAAACATAAGAATTTCTAATGCTACAAGAAATTAGCAGCCATAAACAGACTATGTAGAACATATTCCTAAATCTAATATCTTCCATACATGTTGAATTTCAACTCATACTTGCAAAGGTCATGCCTGCTAGCTGTGACAGCAACTCTAGGCCAATATCTGCAGAAGGCCAATCCTAGGACACAGTAAAAATGTTTTGCAATTTCTAGGGATAATCTGTTGTGTATATGTATTGATGTGTTGTCTGGATTACCCTCTTTTAATTGCCATGTATTTCCCTTTTTTAACATTAATTTTATTACATTTATATTTACGGGGTATTTTTATGTTAATTATTTTGGGAGCTGCCAAGAGTCGTTTGGAATCAAGGAGCATCAAAACCAAATCAATAAAAACTGAGGACAAAAAAGTTGGGTTTTTTTTTCTCTTTCCTGTTTCATTTTTTCTTTTCAGTGTCCAATGAATGTGCATAATGCAGAAACTATGCATGATCATGATGTTTTACTTAGTTATGTCTAAACTGGTTCCACTGGAACTTCAAAATTTCAAACTATTTATCCTCAAGGAATATTTTTTTTCTCTTCCATGAAGCAGGAATTTAAAGAAAGCATAGAAATTAATGTACATGGGTAAATCTAGTAAAATTTGAGTTCAAGTCCACACTTTGTCATGAAGTTCATGGGGTTGACTATAGATTAACCCCAATATTACATCCAAAATTACCACACGGGATTTATTTCTTTGAGGATTAAAGTAGCAAGAAACATTCATATAGTCTGTCCTGTGTTGTTTAGGTTAAACTGGAATTAATGAATTGGTACAAATTGAGATTAATAGTACACAATTTTCCTGATAGAATGCTCCATGAGTCCATATTTGGTCTCTAATTCTAAGAATTCCTAACAGCATGAGCAATAACTATCTGGGCTTTTCTAGAATTTGTAGATCTAGCATATCTAAAGGATACCAGATTGAGATTAAGACTGGATTAAAAATCAAATAGTAATCCAATGAATAATCCCACCACCATCAGCTCTGAGAAAAGAAGGATCTCCACCTGGCCTTGCCTGAAACCCAAATGTGGGACTGTGATACAAGATTTATTTTTCCTAGTTATTGAAAAAGATGCCAATCAGGTCAGTGTCTGCCTTTGTGAGTTGATTAACAGATTGTCTTAACAGGCTCCAGAATGCTAGTTGAATTGGAGGGCAAGTTACGGCGTTTTCCAGTAACATAAATATTTGGTAGGTATGTTAGAAAAATGAAGGAAAAAAAGTTTTTAAAAAAGGAGGTTTAGGTTTTAAGTGTCACAATGATTTCTTTAATAAAAGACATATTTGAATGCTGATATTGCACACATCAAACATTTGCTTTGCTTTCTTTCAGTTAGATTCAAATAGTCATGTTCTTCATTATTAGTGTTGTGGCCCACTGACAGCCAGCAGAGCTGGAAGAAGTGTCAAACAGTGAGGAGGTTTGGGGAGGAACATGGGCCAGTCTTGGGGTTGAGGAAAGCTCAGAAGTGCATCTGAGGCAGTGAGGCAGAAGAACAGCTGGAGCCTGTTCCCAGTGTGCGCATGCACAGAGCTGCCAGAAGACAAAAACATCTAAGAAATCAGGGTCCACTTAAGAGTCAAGTCACACCTTGGAGGTTATTGGCCCCTCCCAGAGGAAACACAAGAGGAATGAATGGGGAGTGGGCTTTTGCAGGAAACAATGTTTATTTGGTCCGGAAAGTTCGGTTTGTGATTATAAGAGACTCTGTGCCAAGTTTTGCTTTGCCCTGTGTTTGAAAACTAGCTATCTGGCAGCGCTCTAAATGAGATAAGGTGTGTGTGGATAAACATTCCTTGGAAAAAAGCCTTGCTGACTGTGAATGAAAGGAATTCACAGTCCTTTAAATAAAAGAGGTTTTGTCGGGACCAAGATTTTGCTTCTTGCTTTCTAAGGAAGCCTGGGTCAGAACAACTATTGCCTTTGTTTTCTACCTAACCTCATAAAAATATTATCTTAATCAACCCCCCCCCCCCCCCCCCAAATATCTTTGCAATCACTCACCATCCACACCATAAAGTAGGAAAACAAAGCAATCCATAATGTGGAAAAGAGAAATGTCACCATGAAAAAGTTTTCCCAGCGTGGCTTGCTGCAGTTTGGGATGGTGAAAAAGATATTTGG